TGCAGAAAGGATGAGGGCGTTAGGGATCCCAGCTATAATCATGCTGGACTCGGGCCACCCTGCCCTCCAGGAGATCCCACACTCCATGGGGAGCTGACCCCAGTGAGAAATGCTGAGGTGTACTGCTGGATGCGCAGCAGGGACAGCCTGGGAGGTGGGCTAGGAAGGTCCCCAGGGGATGGGGCTTCTGAGTCTGCTTTAGGGACCAGCAGTGGTGTGTATGGAGCAAGGAATAATGGGCAGCCCAGGCAAATCGAACAGTTCATACAAAGGCATGAGCAGGATGTGAAGGGCGTGTGTCTGGGAATACAGAGCGACAGCAATTTAGCAGGATGAAGAAAAAAAGGCAGAAGCCGGGGACTGGTTCTGAAGTGCCTTGAAAGGGGGCTAAGGTGTTTAGTCTGAAGACAGGGCAGGCGGAGGAGGGCTTAACTGGCCGAGGGGCTCGGTCAGAAGTCGTCACACTGCCCTGATTTGCGGCGGGGACGCCCGTGGCTGGTGGGGCTTGGGGTTGTGGCAGGCTTCTGCTCCCTCCTATCCGCGGAGATACCCACGGCGGCTGCGGCGGACCCCGCGGTTCCGCTCCAACTCACCAGGCTCCAGCGCTGCCCGTCGGCTGTGGCCGCGCCCGCGAGCAGCCGGCTGGTCAGTGCCCGCCCCGCCCATGGCGGCATCCCCGCAGCCGCGCCCTAAAAGTGCGGTGCCAGCCTGACTACCCCACCTGACGCAACTTACGTGCCACCTGGGAGGGCGAGAGGCTCCCTAAGCCACAGGGCCGCCGCTTTACTGCGCCGCGCCGGGCCCCGCCCATTCCGGCCCCGCCCCTCACCTGACGCTGTTCTTGTGCAGAGAGTCCACGCCGGCGCCCGCGGCCGGGCCGCCCTCCGAGCTCGCTTTCTTGTCCAGGTTCTGGAAGCGCTCGCGGGCCGTCAAGCCGCGCTGCGAGCTCTGCTTGGGCACGTCCAGCCGCCCGCCGAAGCTCAGCGTCCCCGTGGCGCCGTCGTAGGTAAATAGCACCGGGAAGCAATCGTGGCCCTGCGGCGGGGCGGGGGTGCCATTGGAGCGCAGGCCAAGAGCAGGTGCAGAGCCCCCTTCTTTCGCGCGGGAAACCGAGGCCGGAGCGAGGCACGACAGCAAGGGGCTTCTGGCCTCGAGTCTGGAGGCCCGGGAGGCAGGATGCGGGACTTCGGTGGAGCTACCGAGAAGCTGATTCCAGCTAGGGGCACACCCGGGCTGACCCCAGGTGTATCAACAGGGACCTCAGGAACCCAGGAATACCAAATAGGGACCAGATGTTGAGGGTGAGCATCTAGGGGCGGCCTTCTGCTGACACCTGCTCTGCGAAGGCCCCCACAGCTGGATACTTCTCTAGGAAAAACAGGCCTGATCCCCCTAAGGACTCCCAGTGTGGCTGTTACAGGGGCGAAAGGTGGGCAAGAGATAAGGAGTAGCACCTTTCTGGACACACGATAGAAATGCATTCCCTACACACACTCACTCGAGTTCCCTGAGGCCCCGTCCTTCCCACTGGCCAACAAAATCTAGGCAGAAACATTAATCTAAGCATCGGGGCATGATTCTCCACTTCCCCCTCTCCATCCATGGCAGCTGAGGACCATGGTGGAGACAAAGCATCTGTGTTGAGCAGAGGTCCCCTCACCATGCCCATGCTAGACAGAAAAAGTGAGCGAAAAGTTAACTGTTTACTGTGTTAAGCCTCGGCAGTTGGGATTTTGTTTCTGCAGCAAAGCCCTACCTATTCCGACCAGAACAGAAGGATGGATGATGGATGGGTGGGTGGATGGGAGGGAGGAAGAACAGGAGCGAGGCCAGGGACAAGCAGAGAGCTGCCTGGGCATCTCTGGGCTCACTGGGGAACCTGCTCTAACTGGCCACTGCTCCCCGCCCTCCCTCCTCCTCACCGCTGCCACCAGACTGTTTTCCGTGATGAAGGTCAGGGCCAGCAGCGGCAGCGTTTCAGAGGCCAGAGTTGCAACCCTGAGTGAGAGAGAGATATCAGCCACAGGGGCCCCCCACACTCTGTGCCTCGGTTGCCCCCCTCTCATGACCTGTACTCACGCCATCTTCTTGTTGGCATCGGCCAGGCACACAGTGCTGTCATGACTGACCCAGGCCACTCGGCTGCCACTGGCTGAAAAGCAAACACCATGCACCCAGCCACAGCTGCTGCTGGACTCGAACATCAGCTCTCCGAAGGGCATCTTGGAGCCCCATGGGGTAGGTGCTGGCCGCTCCTCCACTTCCTTGATGTAGGCGGAGAAGATCCTAGAAAGGAGAGGCAAAAAAAAAACAAGGGATTGGGGGGTGCCTGGGACCCGGGAGAGGCCTAACAAGGAACTCCCTTTCTCATACCCGCCTGGCAAGGTCAGAGCACCCAACTAGGAGCTCATGGGGACCAAAGCCCACTTTGCAGGACCTGCATCTTCATGACTGGATAGGTCTGGGCCTCAGCGCTCTCTTTGGGTGATGCAGTGAGGCCAGGACGTCTTTCAGCTCAGAGTCCTGATAACTCCCGGGGCCTCACGTGAAGAGCATCCAGAGCTGATGTGGCGCCCCCAGCGGTGCCCTGAGCCCATCATGCTGGCCACTCCCCAGCCAGGCCCTGGAAGCCTCTCCTCCCTCCTGCTTCTGCACCTTGAACCAAATCTGCCCCCGTCCTACCAGCTCTGCCCTGCACACTGCTCTCCCACTCCTCCCCATCCCAGTGCCGGTGTGGGGTCACCCAACAGATCTGGGTGCCAGTAAACCTGGGTGTCCCCCACACCCCACCACCGCCCTGCAACAGAGCCTCATAGAAACACCATCCTCTCCCTGCCTGGGCCTCCAGTGCCTGCTGGAGCCTCGAGTCTCAGAGATTCAGAGATCCAGGCCTTCTGCCTGGAGCTGGAGGCGTTGGGTGAGAGACTCAGGGGTACTGGGCCCAGAAGTGAAAAACAGCCAGTGACAACTGGAGGTGCTTAAGCGAGTAAGGCCAAGTTTGTCCCAGCATATCAGTCATTTATACTTTAGTGTGAAAAAGTACACCCACTCGTTTTCCCTCAGACAGAAGCCAGGAAACTGAAGGGATGTGGGTTCCAAGGAGGCAGGAGAAGATGGCTTAGGAAAGAAACTTTGCTGACATTAAGAGATGGCAAGTGGCACATCCTGCTACAACTCTCCCTGGGCTGGAGACAGGACCCAGTGACGGACCCTTCAAAGAGCAAAACCTCACAGGTGCTCAGCCAAGGCCCCAGGCTCCCCTGCCAGCAGCAGAGCTGGTCTGGAAGGCGGGGCATGGGGTACCCAGGATAGGCTCCCCCCCACCCCCCAATCCTAGTTCCTGTGCTGTCAGGGCCCCTCCTCTCACCGGCACTTGAAGTCACAGGAGCCGGCAGCCAGGAGCACGTTGTTGGGGTGCCAGTCCAGGCTGAGGACTGTGGAGCGAATAGGCTTCTTGATGTGTTTGCACACCCACCTGGATACAATGGGCAGACAGGTTGGGGGACAGGGACAGACGGGTGGCCACCCACCCACCTCAGCGCCCAGGTCTCCAGGCTCCCACTGCAGACAGCTGAAGTCCCAGGAATGAGGGGCCTGGGCACTGCTAGCCCAGGGGTGTGTCAGGCCCTGGTTCAGGCAAGAGATGTGCTGAGGCCTCTTAGGTGGGAGCTCTACCCCTGGTCTCCTTTACACCTCACCACGAGCCTTGGGCAGGCTCAGCGAGGAAAATCACAGCTACTGACTGGCAGGGTGGAATCTGAACTCGGGTCTCCCAGACTTGAGCCTGGGCTCCTGCCTGGCCTCTGCCTTCAGAGACCCAGGGGAGAGAGGATGTGGCTGAGAGCTTGTGCGTGGGTCCTGGAATGTCACAAGCTGGGTGCCTCGGGTAAGGGACTGGGCCTTACTCTGCTCCACTGTAAAGTGGGGACACCAGCTGACCCCCAGTCGAGATGGTGGGGGTGTCGATACCAGGACATGTGCAGGGCTTAGTGGATGCCTGCAGAGGTGGCCTGGTGTGGTGTGTGCCCTTGTTACTGGGACAAGTCTGTGTAGAGAGCCCCTCGCCTCCTCTATGAGGGTGAGTGGACACACTTCCCTGGGGTTATGACACATCCCTGGGGTTATGTGAACAGGGGCCTAACGTCCCACCTCCTGCCCTCTGGAACTCTAGGCCACTGCCTGTTGGTCTGTAGCCTCAGTCCCTCCCAGCCCATCTGGCCCTACTTAGGCACCCACCAGTCATTTTCTCGCTCAAAATAGCAGATGGAGATGACACGGGAGCCGCTGCCCACAGCAAATTTGTTCTCCTGGGGAGCCCAGCGCACACAGCGAGCTGCCCGGTTGATGCGCAGAATGACAAGCGTGGGCTTCCACGTGCGGCCCTTCAGTGTCCACACGTAGGCATTGCGGTCTGTGCCGCAGGTCACGATGCGGTTACTTTCAGGGGCCCAGTCGATGCCTGTGGGGTGGGGGGAGGACACCAGGCTGAGGCCATCCAAGCAGAGGCAGCTCTAGTGTCCACATAGGAGAGGTTTAGAGGCCAGTATGGGTGAAAGCTGCTCAAGGGGGTGATAATAAGCCACGAGAGCTTACTGGGAGTGTCACACCCTCCCATCTGCTACCAAGCATAGTGGAAAGCCATGCAAGGAAAAGAAAAATGGGTTCTTGGTAATGCTGAGCTGCTGGATCCAGCCTTTTCTGAAGCCCACAAATCTGAGTTTTTCAGGAACAGGGACAGACAAATCCTCTATAGCTTAAGCCAGTTTGAATCATGGCGGTGTTACTTGGAACCCAAGCTCTCCTACCCAGCACAGTGAGTGGGTGGGTGGCCTGGTTGGCCCTGCCCTGGCCTCAAAGGAGGGAGATCCCAGCCAGCCTAACCCACCTGTCACCTGCCCGTTGTGCTCCTTGAGCTCATGCACCTTGACCCACTTGGCACCGCTCTTCTCATAGATGTGCACCTCATGGTTGTTGGGGCAGATGGCGATCTCTGCGGAAGACACAGGCAGGGAATGGGGGTGGGAAGCATGTGTGCCCAGGTTGCCCATTTCTGGCTTGACTGTCTTCCAGGAACACCCTGCACAAGCAACATGTCCTACGAGATGCTTTCTTCCTCCTAGGAGGGATCCCCTGAAGGCTCTCAGGCCCTGCTGGGCCCCCAATGGGACACCTCGCCAGGGATGGCCACCCCTCACCTGCACCCACCACTCCCAGATGCCCCCGCAGAGGTGCATTGAAATTCTGGTAGCTCTGCTCTTCTCCCACTACTGCCCTCTGCTTCCCACCTCCAGCCTGGCTCCTTGCTGCCCCTGGTCTTCTTGGTGTCCCTGATGCTGCCAGGCTCCCCGTTCCCACCCGGCCTCCGCACCTGCCCTGCCCTCCCCTCCCACGGCACCTCAGGCTCCCTCCCCTACTGGCCATGGCAGGTTCTGCCTTCATTTGTCACCCCCAACTGCTGCCCCAACCTATGAGCCCCTTGCCCACCTGGGTCCAGCGCCCACAGCAGGGCTGGTGTGGGGTGGGGCTATGCTGTCACCTCAACCCTCATGGCCCACTTGGCTGGTGGCCCCTGCTCGTTCCCCGAGCTGTTCATGCATTCCCTCCTAAACTCAGGACCAGGGGTGAAGGAGGGGGATGGTGGCCTGACAGAGCCCCAAGGCCAGGCGCCTACGGCTTTACCCTCCCTGTCACTCAGCCGGCAGAGGGCACTCACGGGTGCGGTCCTTGTTCCAAGCATGGCAGCTGATGGGCTCCACCAGGAAGCTGTGGTAGGCCATGGCTGCTTGGTTCCTGTGCCCAAGAGAGGGGAGGGACCCTATGTCAGCCCTACCCCTGCCCCAGACCAGACCCCAGTCAGCCTGGTGAGAGGGCAGCAGGGCCACCCTGGGCTCCAGACCCTGGCCTGGTGCACTGCTTCCTTCCACGGCTTCAGTTAACCTCATGAAATGAGAGCTCTCACGGAGGTCCCCGAGGCTCCAGGCAATGAACATAAAGGATGGGGTGGGGAGTGCAAGATGTGGGTGAAACTGCCACCGTGAATGGGGTGTGCAGGGATCTTGTGCCACCAAATGCCTGCCCTTGTTCTGTGCGGCAAAGGCCTACTCCTCCGTAAAGACCTGAAGTGAATGTCACTTCCTCAAACCCATTCTGCCGGACTCAGCTCCAGGAGTCGCAGGCACTGGGCAGGGGCAGGAGGGGGCGGGCGGCAGCACCCATTCCCCAGCTCTGGGACCCCAGGCACAGCATGCACTCCCTCTCAGCCTTGATTTCCACATCTGCAAAATGGGAACTCTGGGAACTCAGGAATCCTGCCCCAGAGGTCTTAAGAAGGTTTTATAAGATATATAGTAGGTGTTCATGAAACAGCAGCTCTTCGTCCACACCAGATGGGGTGTGGCACTTAGCCACCACCCTACTGTTTAGGAGTCACCCTCCTCAGCCAGACCAGCAGCCCATCCTGGAGCAGTGGGCCTCAGGCCTTCGCACTGGCCGTTACTTTGGCCTTTGAGTCTCTTCCCCCAGATCCCTCCCTGCCCTTGCAGCTACCATTCAAGTCTGTGCTCAAACGTCATCCTCACAAGGAGGCCCTCCCTTACCTCGCTGCAGCCCCCACCCAGCAGCCCTGTTCCCAATTGGAATGATCTCCACAATCCCTACAGAATGTCCCTTATACTGAAGCATTTCTTTTATTTTTCTCTGCCGGCTGGGCTTAACAAGCTTGGTGGAGACAGACAATTTTGACTATCTGGTTCACATTTCTTTCCCCTGTGCCTAAATGCTTGGCATATACTAGGTGCTCCATAGATATTTGATGAACACAGTTGTTTACTGCCATTAGTGCCCCACAGAGTAAGTTCTTTATTAAAAAATGAACAACAGCACCACCCAGCATTTCCTTGCTTCCCAGCTCTAAGCAGGCAACGTAGTCTTGACTTTGGTGCTTAGATGCCACAGCCCCAGGTGACAGATGGGGAGTCTGGGGTTTGGCAAGCGGAAGCCACCTGCCCAGCAGCACACATCCCCCATGTGGGTGTCACCAGGAACGTGGCTGTCCGCCCCCCCCCCCCCACCAGACTGGTAGGTTTGCGTCCATGGACTGGCACAGGAAGGTTGCTCCCCAGCTCTGGGCCTGAGCCCTTAACACCCTGGGAAGGCTGGCTGATGGGGAGCCCTGCTGGAGCCCTGAGGTCTCTTCCTCCTTCTGCTGGGGTCTCTGCCAAGGCCACTCTGGGAGGGACAGCATGGAGTTGGGCCCAGGCATGAGGGACATGCAGCGCAATCCATGGTACAGTGGAGGAGTGTGGGGCTCTGTGACCAACTTGCCCGAGGTCACACCACAAACCCTCCTGGGCCTGGCTTCATGCCTCCCAGCCCACCACTTGGTGGCCCTGCCTGGCTTGCCTACCTCCAGCTTTCATTCACAGCAGGAAGTCCTGGGGAGTTTCTGGGTGAGTGTACAGGGCAGGGACCACATCTGGGCTCCCAAGCCTAGAGCAAGGCACCAAGTGGCTCCTCAGGCAACATGTGCTGAGAAAGAGAAGCACACCCACACACACCCCAGGCTCAGGCTGGGCGTTTTCATGCGTTGTCAGCCTTGCATGCACACACAACCTGCTTCCACACACACAAGTGGGTTCAGCCTTGCACATGTATACAAGTACCTGTTCCCACATGCACATGCCTGTTCAACCTTGCACACAAATACAAGCATGCTGCTCTTACCACGGCTCTTATTGCCTCCCTCTCCTTGTAAGGCTAAGGCTCCTGAAAGTGGCACCTGCCCCAGAGCCAGCAGCCCAGGTCAGTAGGCCTGATGGTGATTTCCCCCAGCACTTCCCGTGAGTTTGTGCTGGGCCAGCACTGGTGTCCAGTGTGGCTGAGGTGGGGTGTCATCACCGTCTAAACCACAGTCTCAGGAGTGGAAGCACCAGGCCTGTGTGACCACTATATGGTGCTAATTGGCCCATCCCGTTTTCCCAGGTCACCAATGGGGCAGGGGCAGGGTTAAGGCCAGAAGCCCAATTCCAAACCCTAGTTGGGCTCTTATTGGCCCCTGGACTCTAGCTGAGGCCAGCCACCCCTGACCCCTTCAGCTCCATGTGGCCCAGAAAGGAGAGGCCCTCTGGCTGCAGCCCAGGGAAGGGTCCCTGGACCCTAGACTGGGGCCTTGAGCTAGTTAGCAGAACAGAGCCCCCAGCTCCAACTATCACAGACTGGCCATGTAGCCGGGCAACTCTGCCTATTGTAGGGTCTTTTGTAAAAGTGTCCAGATACGGGGCCAGGCAGAAAAGCCTGTCTAGTGTGATGTTCTTAAGTTCTAGGCTGTGAGCGGAAGGGTCAGTCGGCTGAAGACAGTGGCCCCCATACTAGCAAAGAATGCAGCTGAGAGGACCTGGGGCACCCTGACCATTGTTTCCTGGGACACAAAGATTCCTGAGTAGAAGAGGGAGGAGTGGGTGAAGATGGCCACAGGCACAGTGGGACAGGCAGGGGAGGGAGGTTCTGACCACACCTAGCAGCTAGTCTCTAGCATGAATTCAGACAGAATACTTCGTAGTCCACTAAACTAACACCTTAAAGGGAGTACGGGGAAGGGTTGAAGGAAGAGGGAGAGAGGAAGACACATTTCCCCCTTTTCATAACTTATGCAAAGCAACTGAAACTAGCAGGGCCTCAGCGAGTACTCCCAACCCCCAGGTTACAAATGAGGAAGCGGGAGCCCAGCCGAGGAGGGAGTGGTTTCTCCAGCCACTGTGGCCTCAGGGATGTAACCTCCAAGCAGCCTTCACACCGGACCAACCTGCCACAGGACCTTTGACTTAGTGATCCCAGGACAGCCTCTGCCCTAGGCGGCAGTGGCCAAGGAAGATGCAATTAGGATTGCTCTGCGTTCACAGCTGGATGCTTCAGCTACAGCTCCTGGTGGAGACAAAGGCAGGCTCTGGACACCCAGCCCCCAGTCACCATGGCCCTGGGAGGCAGCACCCTGGGTCCATTTGAAGACAGAGGAGGGGGCCCTGGGATGGCCAAGGCTCCTGGGCTTCAGCACTTCTGCCTAATGGTGCTGGAGTCAAATTCTGGCTCGCTCCACTCTGGCTGGGCACCCTCAGCCAATGTTTCCCTCACATTCCCATCCAGAAAGGGCTGGGGCTGGATGAGGCACCCACTGTAGGTTCTTTCTTGCTTTCAGAGAAGCTTTGCTAATCTTCTCTGATTCCAGAGGTTTGGCTGTATACTTGAGGCTAAATCAGGCAGGAGCTGCCTGGAGCAAGGATCTCAGCCCTACAGGCACTCAGGGAAGTCCCCACCCAGCTCACACTGCTCAAGGGAGCTGCCAGGGAGCCATTTTGCACTGGGGCTAAGCTGTTACTCAACTTCCTGTAACAGCTTTTGCCACCCCTAACAGACAAGCCCATCCCCCCTCCCTAACTGTGCTTTTGAAGTCTCACAAACCAGGCAAAATCAAGGCAAGATTTAACATAGACTAATCATAAGGCACCGTGAAGCAGTTAAAGTAATCCAAACAAAACTAAATCTAAAAATCCATAAAGCTCAGTGCTAGCAGGGTTGTGGAGAAATTATCATTTGTTGCTAATTTCTTCAGCCTTTTCTGAAGAGCAACGTGATAACAATTCAACGACTGGGTAGGAACAAACAGAACAGAACAACATGAGCAGGAACTTAAAGACTGAACACTCTGTGGTGGCATAAATTCTTTTTGGTGCCAAGAAAATAGCCACTGACTTTTTTAAACCAAACATGTTCATAATAACCCTCTTTATGATGGTGACAGAGTGGAAATATCCGGGTGACTACAAATATGAAAAGGGTGAATTGTGATATTAATAGGTTGGAATGCTATTTATTGAAAGAACCTATACGGATTATGTACTAAGACATATGTAATAAACCAAACTTCATTAAATGCCCAGGATTTGCGCTGCACTTTGATATATACTCTCTTTTACCGCGTAAAGCAAATCTAAGATTTTTTTTTCTTTTAACCTCAGGAAGAAAAAGACTCAGACAAAACCAAGATTTTCCCAAAGTCACAGAGCTCCTAAATGGCACAGCTGGGGATTCGGACTCCAAATCTCAGAGGTTAGGTTCCGGTGGGCAGGCTTTATAATGGTAATGCAACGAGAAAAACACGCTGATACGCCGTTTGCGCCTGGCACAGGGCCAAGTGTCTTACACACATTATCCCGTTAGCGCCTCCCAACTTAAAAGGTCCCCCTTTTCCGGGAAAGGAAAATCGAGGCTCAGAGGTTGGGTGGCTTGCTTAAGTCACCGCCAGTGAAGGGAGAACCTGGCACTCACACCAGTCTCCGAAGCCCGCAGGGATGCGTGCCGGGCAGCACTGCCCACCAGGCGGAGGAGCCCGGGACGGCGGGAACCACCCGAGGGGGGTCCGCAGCTCGCGCCCGCGCCGGCTCGCCGCGCTGGTCATCACCGCGTCGCTGTCCCTGCCCCGGGCCCGCCCTGGCCGCCGGCGGCCAGCCCGCACCGCCACGAAGGGGCCGCTCGCGCTCCGCGCCCGGTGGCGTCCCGGAGCGGGGCCAATAGACCCTGTCCCGGCCCCCCGGCCCCTTACCGGGGAGGCAGGGGGAAGGCGGGCGGGGGCGCCAGCTCATTTCCCGGCTGGAGCGACCCGGAAGGCTGGCGGGCGGAGGGGAAGTGACTGGGCGCGGGGCCCTCGCGCCCGAAACAACGGGGGCGCGGACCGCGGGGCGGGGGCAGGGGAAGGCGGGAGGGACCCGGGGACGCACCGAGGGCGCGGGGAGCTGCGCTTCCCCCGCGTCCCCTCACCTCCCGGCAGCCCCCGGCGAGGTGCCCCGTCCCCCAGGCGCTGCCACGTCCCCAGCGGTCCCACCTGCGCGCCCCCCACTTGCGCGCGTCCCTCACCTGGGTCCCCGGCCGCGGACTCTGGGCAGTCGACGCGCCGCACCGGCTCTGGGCTCCGCGCTGCGCCGCAGCCACTTCCTCGTGGGCGGGGGCGGGGCCTCGCAGCTCAGCCCCGCGGGGACGGGGGCGGCGACCTGGGGCCGCGGTCGGAGATCAGGGCCCCGCCCACCCCCGCGCACCCCCACTTTGAGGGCCGCACCGACCCAAAGCACCCTGGAATCGTCCACGACCGGCCCTCCCTACTTTTAGGATGGGGAAACTGAGGCTCCGAGACAGGCGCGCAGCCCGAGCAGCCGCTGGGCGGGCCCGGGGATCGGCAGGGCGGGGTAGGAGAGCCCTGGCCGGCGGGCTCGGCGCGCACGGGCTGGGGCCCGAGCCGCTTAGCGAAGCTCTGCTGCCGCTCGGGGACCGTCCCTTCGTTCGCGCAAGCCGACCGCCGCAGGGCGTCCCCGCCCTCGGTGTCCCTGCTACGGAGCGCGGCCGCTGGTCCCCGGCTGCCTGGCTGGCCCAGCACCTTCTCTCAGTGCTGGAGGCCTTGCCGCCTGACTCTGGGGCTTGGGCCAGCTGGGCCTCACGGGTCTTCCCAGCGCTACTCTCGGCCCCATCCAGGGAGATGTGGCCAGGTGGCCCGGCAGATGGAGACCCTGGGAAGCCCTGCACCCCCTCAGTTCACCAGGACCCCTCCCTAGGACTCCTCTCCGCCTAAGCTCCAGGCAGCAAGCAGCAGGAGACGTGGCCGGGTGGGGTCTTCACGGTCCCAGGAGACTGGGGGCCTGACCCACCCTGTCAGGTCTAGGGGGCTGTTCTTTTTGCCTAGACCCCGTTTCCCACCGTGTCCCCACTTGGCCAACTTGGGTTCGTCCTGCAGAGCTTGTCTCTTGGGTCACTATCCACGACCCCCTCACCCCCCATTAGAGGTGTCTACTGGACTCTCAACAGGACCCTGTGCTCACCAGTTTCAGGTCCTGTGGGGCGGGTGGGGGGATTAAATGTCCAAACACGGGGAGCACTTCAAGCAGGGGGCACATCTCGAGTGCCCAGTTAACTTTAGCTATGGTCTGTTGGACCATGAGCCTTCCTGGCTGAGGAGCCTGCGGGGGTGTCACCAGGGCTCCCACCGAGTCTTGGCAAAGCCCTGCGACAGCTTGCATCTAACCAGAAAGTTTCCCACAGTCTGTCAGCAACCTCCTCCTTGTGGGCACAAGTGCAGTTTTTTTTTTTTGGTATCATTACTCTACAGTTACATGAGGAATATTATGTTTACTAAACTCTCCGCATCACCAAACAAGTGCAGTTTTAACACTGAGGTGACACCTGTTGTGTCTCTGGCTTCATTCTACCCTCACCAGCTTTGTAGATGCCTGAGCAGTGACCCCAGGTAGGACTGACCCTCCACTCTGATGGAAGGCCCTGAATCCTCTAGCCCAGTCAGGTTCTGCTGTCCTGTCCTGCACGTGTGACCTAAAAGGACCAGGCCAAGGCAAAGCCCAGGACTCTGGATGATGATGGAGGGGAGGAAGCCCCTTCCCAGGGGAGTGGTTTGACCCTGAGTACAACTACAAGGGAAGCCAGACGATGCAGTCATGGCTTACATGGAGAGAATCCCAGAGAAATGACTGGTGCCCTGGTCAGCCTCCAGCTGAGGACCCGCCTGCTTCCACAGTGCCGGATACGTGAGCCAAGGATCTTAAGCTCATTTGAGTTTTTGATCCCCATGGCAAAGAGCATCCTGACAAACACATTTGAGGACTTCTTTTTCCTCATTATGAAAACTGAGCTCACAAGCTCAGTACCAGCAGAACCATAGTTTGTATTGCCCTGGGGCCTACGACAGCGCCTGGCAGAGGAGGCACTCAAATGAGTGAATGAACAAGTGCGAACAAGTGGTGTTAGAAACTGAATTCAACCCTGGCTCTGCACTTGACCTGTAGCATAACTTCAGGCAATCACCCTTCCTGCAGGGCCTGGCCTTGAGTCTGCTAAGTCCCATAGTCACTGTGGGAATACAGGATGGATGCGAAGGAATACCTTAAACTGGCCAGCTGCAGGAGGTGTTCTTTGAAATGGCTCCCTCAATGCACAAAGTTCCTGATTTTAAGTGAAGCCAACTCTTGGGTGAGGGGAGCGTGAGGGTGGCACAATTTCATTAGGAGTTCTGAGAACATCTCAGGAAGCCATTTCTTCTGGGCCCGCCTCCCGGTGAATGGGATGAAGATGCTGAGCTCTGCGTGCTCAGGTTTCCAGGAAATGCAGCCACACACCAGGCTGACTCCCCAGGGCTGCCCGAGTTGGAAGAGGTGTCACTGGGGGCTTGTGCGACCTCTCCAGGTTGGCACAGTTCTTTCTGCTCCTTCCTCCTCACTACATTAGCCTTTCTGCCTCCTGGTCACAAGAGGGCAGCCAAGCCCCAGAAGTCTGGACTCAGCCAATGGGGCTGACAAGGCAGCAGGAGAGAAGGGAGACCTCCCAGAAGACCCAGCATGATGATCTCCTTCGGCCTCAGCATGTGCCTACCTCAGAATGTGGGCCTTGGGTCTGCCTGAGATCAAGGGATTGCCAACTGATTGCTGTCCCCAGCCACACATACATGTGAAGCAGCCAAACCCCAAAGGGAGGATGTTCACCACAGCTGAGGCCCAGCAGGTGCTCAGCATCCCACAGCAGGGCCCTGCTACAGGATGCAGGTCCTATGGGAGTGGCACCCTGTAAACTGAGGTCTACAGTGAACCCCCCCAGGTATCCGCAGAGGGGCCCCTCCCACCAGTTCCAGTGCCAGCACCCTGCCCCAGAGCTTGGGTGGACTGAACTGGGTGGGCGTGGTCACTCAGCATCGCTGTTCCACCCCGTGCCCAGAAGGGAGCATGCTGAGTGGCCACCGCTCACTGGGGCTCTGGAGAGGCTGCCATGATTCCAACATAGGCTGTCAGTCCCCTCTGGACATGAGTTCTGTCATCTTTAAAATGTGGCGGTAACAGTTCCACCCCTACAGGGTTGTTTTGAGTAGTTAATGCCTGTGGATCTCTTACCTGTCACCCTCCCAGCTGTTCTTCAGGTAACCATGTGCAGCAAGGCTAACACCCCTCCCTCTTCATGGGCTCCCTCAGGTGGCTGGCTCGATCTTAGTGGCTTTCAAACTGTTTTTGGTCCCCACCTGCAGTGATACACATTGCAACCTGGTACACACCCACATACACCTGAAACCATCACTATCATGAAACAATACTTACTACATGGATCACAAAATGTTTTCTTTCCTGTTTAATATTTTTTTTTAATGCTAGTCATGATCTACTAAATTGATTTTTACAACCACTAATGGGCTCTAATCCTCCACTTGGAAAACTGCTCTGGACCATATTCCTGCTCCTGAATCGACCTAGTGTATTCATTTCTCATTGCTGCTGTAGCAATTTACCACAAACAGGGTGGCTTAAAATGGCACAGATGTGTTCTCTCACCGTCTGCAGGCCAGAAGTTCCACAGTCCCAGTGTTCAGGGTGGCGTTCCTCTTGGAGGCTCTGGGGAGAACATGGCTTCTTGCCTGTTCCAACCTTTAGAGGCTTCTGGGCAGCCCAGCCTGACTCCATGGTCACTTCACCTTCACCCTCCTGTCTTCCTCTTAAAAGGTTGCTTGTGGTTCCATCGGGTGACCGAGGCTTCCTCCCCATCTCAAAGGGCTTCAGTTCAATCACAGCTGCCAAGTTCACAGGTTCTGGGGTTCCAGACCTGGACATCTTTGGGGGGTCAGTACTCTACCCACCACAGCTAGTGTTGAAGCTAAACACACACATACCCTAAATGTCACACCCTGTGATTCATGTCCTGATTTGCCCTGACTGTTCCACATGGGGTGGCCCCACTGCCTCAGCGACAATGCAGGCACCTGGTGGAACCCAGGCCCTTGGCATCACTGCTGCTAGAGTTGCGCACACCTGGGAACTAAACCATGTATGCAATGACTATTGGGACAAACTGAGGAGTCAGGCCTGAGCAGTTCGTCCAGGTTCTGAGGCTGGACCATTTTCTCAACATAATATTCTTTTTTTTTTTTTTTTTTACCATTTTCTGGAAAGAACTACTGAGTATTTTTGGTTAGCAAAATCCTTCATACACCGCTTCCTATGCTAGCCCAGTGTAAGGGTCTTCAGGGCCTAGTACAGGGCCAGTGTCATGCCTGAAGGCAAACTGCAGCTCTG